TATGTACATTCTTAGCATCTCCTTGAAAGCAAGAGTCAAATAGGAAGTCTTGGAAGTGAATCCAGACCTCACACAGTCGCAAGTCCCTAGAAAATGCTGGAGCTAAGGATCTCGCTGGAGGACCACATCTGGCCACAGCAGAGTTCTCTAGCTACCTCAGAGGAAGAGCCAAAATGTTAAGGAGCCCTTGCGCACAATCTCAGGGTAATCTAGTTTCCTCAAGAGTTTTTGTTTAACCCAAGAATATGAAGTTCACTTTGAGAATAAAACTTTGTTTACCAAAGACTAGAATTCTGATGGATTTAGACTTCAGATGATCCCTTGAGAGCTCATTTAAATATTTCTTACTGAATTCAGTTTTATCTTGGAGTAGAACCCGCTCAGTACAGACATGGGTGAGCCTATAACTAGAGCCAAAGGTTAAGGGTTAACTCTAACCTCAAGTAGCCTTGTGGTCCACCAGAACTAAAGACTAGAGAATACCAAAGGATTTAAAGTGGGAATGTACACATTGTTATTTCTCTGTACTTTCTCCTTTTCTGTACTTCCCTTAGTATGTGAAAAATGTGTCCTATGTGACTTAGAAATCAAATCTGGTAGCATTCTGACAAGAAATGACAGAAAGATAGGCTAAGGATGGGAATCTGTACATTTCCCAGAACAGGTGGGGAATGCAATGACATCTTTAAAGCAACATTCCTCTAGGTCACAGTATTATGATGTCTCTCTGTTAGGAAATGCTAATGTATTTTTCTTATGAACTAAAACTGCAAACTTCTAGGGTTTGCACAAAAAAGAAACTCTTCTGTGGGTATGGGTATCTAGACCAAATATGGGCAAAAGATTCTTTTCTTGCTTCTTCATGTATGGTTGAGTCAGGTCAAGAACATTTTAAATAGACTTTTCTAGAGACTAGAAGCTTAAAGAAGGAAATACCATAGAGCCAGGGGATCTGTAGTCCGAATATAGTCTCCTTCTGTGGGCATAGTGCCTCTACCATGGTGCCCGAGGAGGAAGGACAGGACCCTGCCTGTGTTCTCGAAGTCTGCCCCTGGGTGGGCCTGCCTCCTCCTGGATGCACCGTATTAACATCTACAGTTAGGAATACTCTTCCAGACAACCAGCATTCTCAGAGTCCCACCCAAGAAATTTTGCATCCAGTGACCTACTCCTTGAATTTCTGTTTAATCATATCCTCCTCTGCCAAGCACTGCATTAAACACTTTAAATTCTTATATCATCTAAATATCTTCTAAGGTTTGTGTTATTGACCTCATTTTATAGAGAAGAAAACTGAGGTTTAAGGCTTTTTTTTTTTTTTGTCCAAAGTGACAGAGCTAATTAAGTGATGGGGCTGGGTGACAAACCTGTCTGTTAGCCTCCAAAGCACGCTCTTCAAAACTCTGTCGTGCCTTTCAGTTTTAGAGTGCTGTCCTGAAGGTTTTAGGTTTCATTTCATTAAAGAAGACAGAATCTCTTTTCACCCACAATATTACAGCTCCTGAAAACTTCTGCCTTGAAACATCCTGTTGTGAACTATGTGCAGGATCCGGTCTCTGTCAGTGACAAGAAGACAAGCAACACACGGAAGGGAGGAGAATATTAGGAACAGACAGTTCCTGCGAGGGCTCATGTGGACAGCATTCAGCCTCCTCAGAAATGGCCAATCTGTTGCGTAGCTGCCTTCCTCAGCGCTGTTTAAGTTTTAATTATCTTCCAACTGTCTGAGCTGCTGTTGAGGGTCAGAGAGAACAAAGGAGGGCTGCTCTATTCTTCAGCAGTGCGCCTCTCTGCACACTGATGAAGTCACTAGCTGCCACTGCCCTTATTATCAGGTTAAATCAGAGTCTGACTGTGCTTTGGAGAGATGATGCTGAATGGAGAAAAAAAATTCATCTCAAGCTCTCCCCCTTATTCAGAATCTTTGGTGGCAGAGAAAATGTGAGATCTACTCCTGTTTAGGTGTTATGACCCAGAAGCGAGTTATGCTTTGTTTTTTTTAAAAAAAAAAAAGAGGGTATGTGCTATGGTGAGCGCTGTGAATTCGTGTAAGACTGATGGATCACAGACCTGTCCCCTGAGACAAATAATACCTTATACAGTTAATAAAAAAATTATTTTAAAAAGTGAAAAAGAGAGGACCCTCTTCCCATCCCCATCCCCATCCCTTGGATTTTCAACAGCTCGGGTAATAAAAACTTCTCCTCTGCCTCAGGGATGCTCCATTGTGAGAGAACCCTGCTCTTCGTCAGGGCTGGAGTCCGTGCTCGCCCCTCTCCCTCTAGCCCACTGCTCTTGGGTCCAGGCCTCTGAGTTCTCGGTGTAGAGCTCCAGGTTCCCCTACTGGTCACTAAAGGTGGGGGATTAGTGGAAGCCTATTTTCTACTTCCAGTGCAGATCTTTAGTGAAGAAAGGAGTCCTGTGCTAAACCACTCCTCGCTGGGAAAGAGGAACATAGTGTCTTTCTCGTGACCTTGTTACCATTTTTTTTAGAATGTGTATTTGAATAAGGATTTCATGCCATTTTTGTAAATTATGCTATAATTTTGAGGAGACTTAGAAAGTATTGTAGGACCAGAATAATTAAACTTGTTATGAGCATTTACGTGTAACGGGCTAATCAAGAAGTGTGATGTACAGTGGCGAATTGCTAATTTGACCTCAGGATTATGCAGCAGAGATAACATTATCTTCATTTATAGAGAACTTTTTATCTGGAGGCATCTCTCAGTGCTTTTCCAACCATATATATTATCTTGTTTGTTATCACAAGCACTATCATTAAGGCTGTAAAATGTATTCCAGTACAATTTTCTGTTTTCAGTTTCTTACAATTGGGGGATGGAGGAGGGAAAGGTTGCATATTTTCTCCCATTTTTGATATTTGCACCAGGGTTAAATTTGGGAAATGACTATTATCTAAAGTTGGAGAACCTGGTTCCGTATAACATTTTTTTATAAAAAGGAAGAAAGGGAGGGAGGGAACATGACTGCGTCCCCTTAAGTCAGCCCGGACTATTAACCTTAAGAACTGCCAATGGGGAAGGGCCTTCGCGGTTGCTTCCTGGCTCCTCTCCCTTGCACAGTATTAGGAGAGCTGCCTCTCCTTTGGTGGAGACTCTACCTAGGGAAAAGGAAAATGATCTGATCAAATTCCCCAAACCACATTCCCTCGATTCCCTCCAAGGTTACAGACAGCAGCACTCAGGCTGTCACGACCATGAGCAGTTGAAAATGCTATGCTGGTTACGTTCCCGTGGGTTTAAGGAAATGGACAAAATTAGATTCAGGCCAATGTGCGAGGCTTAACACACCCCTTCCCTTCCAGAAAGTCTATAGAGACTGTCCCCGCCAATGGGAAAGACCAGCACAATTCCCGTTCCTCGCACACCATTTAGAACTTACTGTACTCGAACCCCACCTACCCACCCAAACACAGTAGCATCAGTACCTTCTGTCTGCCTTGAGGGCCCGAGAGGACAGCTCAGGCAGGCTTAATCAGAGGGCTCTGATGAGCGCAGCCGTCGCCCTGACTCTCCATACAGGAAGATTGGTGTCTCCCTGCAGTGGGCATGGGCACACTGAACAGCCAGTCCAGAAGATAGCATTTAGATTGGTTATGAAGATGAGTGACCAGCTCATGTCAAGGAGCAGATGGCTAAATGAGGTGCACCAGGAATGCCGTGAGATTCATGCTTGAAGGAACAGGAGGGAAAATAGCTTATGACATAAGAACCCCAAGTATAGTCTCTGTAATGTGAATTTTTTTTTTTAAATTGGCATTTACATTACACAGTTAACTTGGAGTGATGAGAAATGTAAGGGAATTACCGAATTAGTGAACAGCAATTAACTCAGAAGTAAAATTATATCATCGAAGTCGAAGGTGGTTTTACACAGCAGAGGAAGGATATTACTAAAACCTTGCCCAGTCTGTCATCTCCTAATTGAAATGTGTTCATTTAATATGCCCCATCCTTCAGAGCACATAGCTCATAATTTGGGAGAGTGTTATCACTTAATCTAGTTATTTTTTCCGGTTCTTCCTTTGAATCCCAGTAAGACGATGTGTGGCACATTCCCCAGGGATTTCTGTGACACTCAGAAGAATGAGTTTGTCCATTAACCTGTGAGCTGTCAGGTCCCTTTGGAGAGTGAAAGGAACAAGTCACTCCAAGGTTAATGCTTGTTTGTCGGATGTGAAGCCTCCAGGGAGATACAGAGGGTGAACAGGCCAGGATGCTCAAGACCTGCCCCGTGAAACCCTGCATTGTGTGCAGATGTCAGATCCGTGTGGCCAGGAGGGAGGCTGCAGAGCAGGCTGGGTCACCTCTGCAGATCACTTCCTCTGGTCAGGAGGATTCCCAGCAGTCAACTTGGAGGGGGTAGAGGTGGTGGGGGGTGGGGGGGGCGGGCCGGGGCTGGTGTAAGTATATAGGGTTAACTTTCTACAAGGATTTAGAAGCAGTGTTGAAATATAAAAAACTGTGAGTGGTTTTTAGTGGTTTCTGTGGATTTTTCTGTTAAGTAAGAAGGTAGTATTGATTTCATGCATTTGTCTCCAATGGATGAAATCTTTCCTGAGTTGGAAAACATTTGATTTGGCGAGTGTTGGTGTACCTGGGCACAGGCACATTCCTAACCCCAAGGTGAAGACAGAAGCCGTGATTCTCCAGCACGAATGTCTCATGGACATATAATTATAATGACATTCAGGGGTTGAGCTTGAACGGTACCTGGTTTAATTTTCTAGGTAAATCAGATCTAAGTTCTGCTTAATTCTCCGGAAAGTGGTATCTCCCTAATTTTGCTGTAATTCTTCTAGGCTCAGTTGGAGCTAGCCCTAAGGAGCAGGTAGAGGTTCTGAAGTCAAGTTCAGAGTCTCCTTTAGTCCATGCCCTGGTACACTGTATATTTGCACAATGTATCTTATTCTGTTGTCTTTGGATTGGTTGTGATGGAAGCTCATTTTCTTCAACAGATTTTCTTTTTACCCCCAGGTATATTCGAATAGTTGGGACTCACAACACAGTGAACAAGATTTTTCACATTGTGGCTTTTGAATGTATGTTTACAAACAAAACCTTCACTCTTGAGAAGGGGCTAATAGGTAAGTATTGCAATTATATTTTTTTATATATGGTTTGATATTTTATCTTCAGTATTTTGCTACCCCATTAACTCATCTTAACCCACCTTTTAATCAGCTTGACTAAGAACTGGTTGATTTGAATGCTTTATGGCTGAGTGACATAGGGGAAGTCTTACATTTTTAGAAGTAGTCAAAATAATAATTCTAGTAAACATAAAAGAAAAGACTATAAATATTACACTAGAAGTTAAGAATTGAAAATGTCCTAGTGATGCATTTCAGATTTGCTATGTGGGGAATGCTTATGATAGTCCAGCAAAGCCTTTTACACAAAAGGCTTTTCTATATTTAATGGTAGGTAAGATCAGGGAAGAAGTCTATAGAATATTGATCCAACACTCATGCTTTCCAAGGCTATGGAGGTATTTTGGCCTCTAATTGGATATGAACGGTGCTCACTATGAGACTGTCTCCTTTTCATGGACACATCAGTCCATATTTGCACTGTTCAGCCAAATTTGCCTCAAGAAAATGCCTACCTGTAATTTAAATAAGACCAGAATTACTGAATCGTCATTGTGAAAGTCAAGTTATCTTGTGGGAAATACTGTCTGACTGATCTTTCAGAAGAGTATTTTAAATTTTGGTTTAGTTATTTGGTTGTTTTCTGTTGTGTTGTGTTAGTGTGGCATTGTGTGCAGTCCAGCCCAGGTCTTGACATTCTAGATAGCGTGAGTGGCTTTTCCCACCTAGCCGTGCCCATGGCTTTTTACATACCTCCTGCGAAGATCCTGGTTTGACTGACTAGATCCTCGAATCTGTCTTTACTGCAGCTTCTTTGAAAAGGGACTCTGTACGTCCAGGTGTCCCTGCCTTGGTATACCTAAGACAGAATTCTTTTGTCTTTACGAAGGTCCACTCCATGCTGGGACACATAGCATGTTGACACATGTCCTAAAAACACGGTGATGACTAGAATGGGAAAGATGAGTGTAACTTGCAGATGTTTACTATTTCTTGGGATGGTCATAAGTCTAAATGTCCTTAAGACCTGCCATGTCCTAAATGTAATCCTTTACTTAGGGAAATTTGGAAGAATAATGTTAGTCAAGTGGCAGGAGTAGCCATTATTCTAACGTACAGAGAAATCTTAGAGCTCAGCTAAAATAAATAATTTGGTTTTACCTTTGTTATGGATGTAACTTTTACCATTAAATATAAATGTTACTCATTGTTATGACTTCTAAGTAATTTGAAAGTTAACACTGCTGAAGCATTACCTGATATTACCAAGGCTTTTAATTCCGTGGGCTGTGTGGAATTTTGGCGATAGATGGCTGCGGCGAGGATACATCTTTTCACCGGCTACCCATGCTCTGTTATAAACTGTAGGCCCCGCTGCATATGTGATTGTGTAGTTAAGGGTGTCCTTACTGAGGAGACTCTTAGGAACCCACCCACCTTCACAGTCACAGCCCGGGTGCCATTCAGCGACTCATGTCAGCCCAGCGCACTGCATTCTGGAACCTGCCACATGGCAGGCACCATCTACTTCAGTCAGTGTCCCCTTCTTATTGGACACTGTAATTATCCAAGAAACAGGTCTGTTTGGCCTGAGAAGCCATTACAGGGTGAAACTCAGGATCCATTGTAGTGAGGGATGCTGTTGTTGGTCTGCATTTTTTGTCCAAAGTGAGCTTATCAGCATTATCAGAAGCCGTAATGGTCTCGGGCATGTCAGGGGATGAAAGAAGATTGCAGAGCTGCAGGAAGTGTGTTTGGTTTCTGGTCAAACACTTTTCTTCAAGCCCTTTTCTGGGATGCTCCCAAGTTTGACTGCAGAGAGCACCGCAGTCATCTGCCTGTCATCGTCCCTCACGTGAATGGGAGCAGGGGGGCAGGCTGGCAGGTATGTACGTGCGCTCGTTGGTAGATGGCCTGCAGTGGGATCCCCTCTGGCCCTCCTCCTACCATCTTCGCAGCTCAGAGCTGTCCCCACGCTGGGCAGACAGGGAGGTAACGTGAGTCGTGGAGGAGCACAGGGCAATTTCATTATCCTCTGTCCGACATGGCAGCTCTGCTTAGTTTCAAGGGGTATTTGAAAGAGCAATGGTCAGCTTCCCATATTGATGATCTCAGATGCATTTTGGCTGCACACAGGCCTCAGCCAGCCACCCTACAGGGACCTCCAAGAAGGGAGTGGTCCTCTAGGTGGGGGCACCATGTACATCAGAATCACCTGGAGTCACCTTTAAATTGTGGCACTTACCTCCTTCCTGTGTCCTGTGAAATATGCACTCCTTCCTTGAGAAGCATGGATAGACACTCCAGGTTTTCATGGGGACAAAAAGGAAAAAAGTAAAATAATGTCGTCATGAATAACTAGTAGGGTGTCAACCCTACTTTTACGTTTTAAGATACAGAACTTCTCTCTTTCACAACTCTTGCTCTTTGTTTCAGAGTTCAGGCTACTCTCATTAGAGCAGTACTCTCCTTATGGGCCTCAAAATTACTTTAAAAATACTTGCATTGTTTTTTTTTTTTTTAATGAGATTTTAATGTTATTACTGACAACATATAATGATGCCAGGCAAAAATAAGCTTTGTAAGATTTTAGTCTTGTTTCCCACCAAAGGGTTTCTTTCCCATTTTTGTTGACAGCATGTCATTCTTTATGCATCTTCACTTGTATAGGTTCATGGGGGAGCCTTGGAACCCTGTGGGTTCATATATCCACAGGGACGGGTCTCCCTGCGACCACACTGACCAGATCTGGAGGTCTGCCTCTTCCCACCTCATCTGCTGCTGCCACCACAGCCCCTTCTCACTGGGCAGCAGCTTCTGGATCATGTTTGGTGTACTCTCCCCTGAGAGAGCCGGCCTGTGATGACCGTCTCCTCTTTGTTGGGAGACGTTTATAGGAATCGCTAACCTGTCTTACCAATGAGGCATGCAAGGAGTAATTAGAATAGATATGACCGCTATTCTATAAACATTCAATCTCCCACAGAATGCGTTTGCTTTTGCCTTGGCATTCCACCTTGTGATATACACATGACATTTGCCAAGTCCTAGCAGTTTTGCAGAATAATTGCCAAGCTTCCTTTCATTTAGTCTCGTATTTAAATTCATTTCTTTGAACACCCTATTATTCAGGTAGAAAGAATAGTACCCACCACCCAGCTTAAAGAACTATTAACCCACAGACAATCTGTTTTATCTATATGCTACCCATTTCTTCCCTATCAGATTATTTTGACACCAGTCCCCAATGGTAATTTTATCATCTTATCCATAAATATTTCATTATGTATCTCTAAAAGTACAACTCCCTATTATAGCCATGATGACAATATCATTATAATACCCCAAAATTGAACTATAATTCTTTATGGATATTAAATATCCAATCAGGGCCACCTGGGTGGCTCAGTCAGTTAAGCGTCTGCCTTCGGCTCAGGTCATGATCTTGGGGTCCTGGGATTGAGCCCCACATCAGGCCCCCTGCTCAGCGGGGAGTCTGCTTCTCCCTCTGCCCTCTGCCCCTCCCCCCTGCTGTGCTCCCTCTCGCCATCCTCTCTCTCTCAAATAAGTCAATAAATCTTAAAAAAAAAATTAAATATCCAATCAGTGTTCAGATGTCCCTAATTGGATCAAGTCTAGGGAGTTTATGTGTTTTTACAGGTTGTTTAAACCAGAATTCAGATAAGGTCCATACTGTCAATAAGTAGTCATTATGACTCTTAAATCTCTTTAAATCTATAGGTTCCCTTCCACATGTCTGTCTATCTCTGTCTCTCTCTCTTTTTTTTTCCTCTTTCTGATTATAATTTGTTGAAGAAACTATTTGGTTTTTGTCCTGTAGAGTCTCTAACAGCCTAAATTTGGGTGATTAAATCCCCATGGTAATATTTAACATGTTTCTCTGTTGTAGTTTTTGTAACTTGGTAGTTAGCTAGATTCTGATTCAATCCGATTCAAGTTCTGGGGTTTTTTGTTGTTTGTTTGTTTTGTGAAAATGCTCCATAGGTGGTAGTACATATGTTTATTAAGAAGCATAGAAAATCTTCAGTTATCTCTCTCTTTTGGATATTCCCATTCATTCGGATTATTTCCTAGATTCATTATTTCATAATTTGGAATTGCAAAATGATTATTTTCGAATTGTATCATTCTTTATTTGGTAGCTAGAAAAATTCCCTCAACACTCATTTGATAATCCTGAGATGCAGCTTGCCAGGGAATAGAAGGATATTTACCATCTTCAAATAAAGAGGTAGTTACCCAGCATCCTCCATAGGTGACCAGTGAGATTTGTTTGTGGGGACTGTTTGGAGGGGAAAGAAGAGGAGTATATATCACTTTCAATTTATGGGACTAAACAAATTGGACACGTTTTAATCACTTGCAGTTATTATTATTGATATTCAAATTGTCCCTATCTTTAGCCTCTTCATACTGGCTCTTGAGTCCTTCTGACATGACCTGCATAGTCCTTAACACTTCCCTGATTTCTGGCATGACACGACATCCCAGGTTCATTTTGTACATTTCCTGCCTTGATCTGCGATCAGCCGTTTCTTCAAAAAGCCCTGGTTTCTTTCAGTGGGAAATGACATTTGGAAACCTCAGTGGAGGCATTTGCTACTGGGTTGGTCACTATTTCTGGGTCTTTCTGGTGGACAGAACTAGGAAATACATGCACATTTATTTATCATATATTTAACAGGTAAAATATATCACGAGTGCATGCTGACACTTCTAATTAAAATTCAGTACGCAAGGTTTTTGTTTAGCCTTTGATCTTGCAGCTCCTTCTTCCTATACTAAAAATCTTGGTGACCAGCGATAAGGCACAATAATTCATTTGCTTTGTCCCCAGTACATACAAAATAATCTCAGAATTACAGTAGCAGTGCTACCATATGGTCATTGAAAATAGTTTAAGATTTTTGCAATGATTTTGGTGGCCCAGAGGGTACATCCACTAGAGATATATATTAAAATTACTGTGTTAT